ATATATATATATATATATATATATATATATATATATAACACACACACACACACACACACACACACAGAGAACATGAAACAATGGGTGTTACCATACACACTATAAGGAGAGTGATCAGTGAAGGTGAGCTTTTATCAGCAGGAGAGAAAAAGAACTGTTTGTAGTGGTAATGAAAATGGCCCATTTCCGGCAATTGACAAGGAGATATGAGGAACTGTAGGGGGGAAGGGGGAATAAGCATGGGGAAATAGTTTTACTTTGTGTAATGGCCCACCCACTCCGTCTTTATTCAAGCCTAATTTAATGGTGTCCAATTTGCAAATTAATTCCAATTCAGCAGTCTCTCGTTGGAGTCTGTTTTTGAAGTTTTTTTGTTGTAATATTGCGACTTTTAGGTCTGTAATCGATTGGCCAGGGAGACTGAAGTGTTCTGCAACTGGTTTTTGAATGTTATAATTCTTGACGTCTGATTTGTGTCCATTTATTCTTTTGCGTAGAGACCGTCCGGTTTGGCCAATGTACATGGCAAAGGGGCATTGCTGGCACATGATGGCATATATCACATTGATAGATGTGCAGGTGAACGAGCCTCTGATAGTGTGGCTGATGTGATTAGGTCCTATGATGATATCCCCTGAATAGATATGTGGACAGAGTTGGCAACGGGCTTTGTTGCAAGGATAGGTTCCTGGGTTAGTGTTTTTGTTGTGTGGTGTGTGATTGCTGGTGAGTATTTGCTTCAGATTTGGGGGCTGTCTGTAAGCAAGGACTGGCCTGTCTCTCAAGATCTGTGAGAGTGATGGATTGTCCTTCAGGACAGGTTGTATATCCTTGATGATGCGCTGGAGAGGTTTTAGTTGGGGGCTGAAGGTGATGGGTAGTGGCATTCTGTTACTTTCTTTGTTGGGCCTGTCCTGTAGTAGGTGCCTTCTGGGTACTCTTCTGGCTCTGTCAATCTGTTTTTTCACTTCAGCTGGTGGGTAATGTAGTTGTAAGAACACTTGATAGAGATCTTGTAGGCGTTTGTCTCTGTCTGAGGGGTTGGAGCAAATGCGATTATATTGTAGAGCTTGGCTGCAATGTAGACAATGGATCGAGTGGTGTGGTCTGGATGAAAGCTGGAGGCATGTAGGTCAGTATAGCGGTCAGTAGGTTTCCAGTATAGGGTAGTGTTTATGTGGCCATCATTTATTAGTACTGTAGTGTCCAGGAAGTGGATCTCTTGTGTGGACTGGTCCAGGCTGAGGTTGATGGTGGGGTGGAAATTGTTGAAATCATGATGGAATTCCTCAAGGGCTTCTTTTCCATGGATCCAGATGATGAAGATGTCATCACTGTAGCGCAAGTAGAGTAGGGGCATTAGGGGACGAGAGCTGAGGAAGTGTTGTTCTAAGTCAGCCATAAAAATGTTGGCATACTGTGGGGCCATGCAGGTACTCATAGCAGTGCCACTGATTTGAAAGTACACATTGTCCCCAAATGTGAAATAGTTATGGGTGAGGACAAAGTTACAAAGTTCAGCCACCAGGTTTGCCGTGACATTATCGGGGATACTGTTCCTTACGGCTTGTAGTCCATCTTTGTGTGGAATATTGGTGTAGAGGGCTTCTACATCCATAGTGGCTAGGATGGTGTTTTCAGGAAGATCACTAATGGATTGTAGTTTCCTCAGGAAATCAGTGGTGTCTCGAAGACAGCTAGGAGTGCTGGTAGCGTAGGGCCTGAGGAGGGAGTCTACATAGCCAGACAATCCTGCTGTCAGGGTGCCAATGCCTGAGATGATGGGACATCCAGGATTTCCAGGTTTATGGATCTTGGGTAGCAGACAGAATACCCCAGCTCATTTCCCCCCTCCCACTACAGTTCCTCATATCTCCTTGTCAATTGCCGGAAATGGGACATTTTCATTACCACTACAAACAGTTCTTTTTCTCTCCTGCTGATAAAAGCTCACCTTCACTGATCACTCTCCTTATAGTATTGTGATATGCATCCGAAGAAGTGGGCTGTAGTCCACGAAAGCTTATGCTCTAATAAATTTGTTAGTCTCTAAGGTGCCACAAGGACTCCTGTTCTTTTTGCAGATACAGACTAACACGGCTGCTACTTTGAAACCTAGAAAAATACAGTTCCTCTCCCCATGGCTTATCTCTTTTACTTCCCCCCTTCCCGCCCCCAACACACAAAGTTACACACAGACTTAGAGGCTCATACTTGTTTTGAGCATTTCCAAACGTCCCAAAAGGATCGCCAGCCATGCCTCCATCCCCAGTAAATATGTAAAGATAACCATCATATCCAAAGAGTAGCTCTCCTCCATTGTGATTGGAAGCTGGCTCTTCTACCTCCAGAATTATCCTGATCATAAACAGGAATGAAGCATTATCAATATTGGGTAAGTTATAATCAAAAGGCACAGTAGCACAATAGCCTAAGTACAGCATTTGAGACATGAAACTGTATGCGGACCAGGAAAAACACAAATCTTCCTCCAGACCCTGGTTATAGAATTTTGCTTTGTCCTCGCTCTAGAGAAATCAGAGATGTTTCTTTTACATGCTACACACAGTGGGCCAGCTTTTGATTTCAGACACACTATTTTTTGAGCAATATAGTATTGTGCACTAGTCATCTGGAATCCCAAATGGTGCAACAGGGCAGACAGTTGATTTTATTATTTTAGATAAATTCACATTTTGAATTATATGGAACCATCACATTGTACAGTAAGGAACCTGTGTAACCATGTGACCTTATTTTTTTTTTTGTTACCCCTGTCCTCCCCCTCTTCGTGCCTTTTGTTTGTTGCTTCTCGTTTCCAATCAGACTGTAAGATATAAGGTGTAGGACCGAGGTCTACTTCTGCATTTGCACAGTGCTCGGCGCAATGTGGCTACAATTCTGACTGGAGCGTTCAGAGCTACTTCTTTACAAATATTAAATAACAACAACAATAAAACTCAAGGCTTGAGGCACAAATGATTAAGGAGAGTTACAGATGCATATTTCACTTGCTCCTGGAATCTGTAAATTACTGAACCACAAACTTAAATGATTTTTAAAGGGACATCCTTAACATATTCACACTTCGTCAACACAAGTATTCTGATTATTGTTCAAAACAACACCTAACATTTTTGTTAACTGAAAGAAATTTGAGGAAAGAAATCTGTTTTCAGCTTGTTTACTTCGTGCATTTGGCATCACTAAGTATAGCAAACAATTCAATATAAGAAAACATGATAAAAAAATACACATTCTGGCAGTGTGATTCGGGGCAAGTGTAACACTTGAAATGTATTTTACTTTCTTATTTTAAAAAAAACTATATTTCAAGTTGACAGTCTCTAATATCTGTAAAAATAATTGATCAGATAACAACAAATTGCAATATGTTGCATTAATGTTGTTCCCTCTCCTTCTGAAAGATCCTAAAGCGCACTGTAAACAGATAAACTAGCCTCGTAAGGATCAATTCATCCACCACTAAACTTCATCACCTCTAGAATGGAGTAGCTGTTCAACAGCAGATCAAAACACTACCCACGTGTAAAAGTGAAGAAGGATACTGTAAGCAATAGAAACCTGCTTTCTGTTCAGCTGCTCCCAAAGCAAAGGGATTTTTCAGTGCAGCAAGACAAACTGAGTTATTAAATAAACCTGAAGGCAAACAGAATATATACATTCTCACTCTTAATGCTAATGGAACCCCACGCAGGGTTACAGGCCTGACTATCCATCTCTGGACAATATTCACAGTGAAGTCAATGGAAGCCTTGCCAAAGTAAGGACAGCAGGACCAGGGTTTGCTTTTTTCAGGTTGCAGCATGAATCTATTTTTGTAATGAACATTGTAGTAGTTATGGAAGAGGTTACAAACTTAGAGCCTGATGGGTCTTCATTCAACAGCACAGCATGAAAGTAAACGTTTGCAGGTTTAGGCCGCTGATTCATTTCTCAAGGCTCTTCTCCTGTCCACATCTAAATTCCTTTTAAAGACTCACTTCTGCCATTCTGCCTAAAGGGAACTAAGCTGACATACATAAACTGTCGTTCCTCTTCCCCTAGCCTCTGTCTGTCACTAGATTGTGACTTCTTTGGAGCAAGGATCCTCATTCTTGAGTGTTTGGAAAGTACCTAACACATTGTGCGTGCTAGCATAAAGATATTAAAATGAATAATATTCAGTGCTCTCATAAAACTGTAATTTTATGGTCCTACCCCAGATTATAAACTTCATAAATCAGTCCTGCTTTGTCCTACATGCAAACCTTCAATTATCTTTGCACTGTAGGTGGAGAGCAACAGCAGAATCAGATTAGCTAACTCAGAATCTGTAAAACATTTTTAATAAGAAAAATATAGTTATGCTTAAAAATAGTGCAGTTAATATGTTTGGCCTGTGCCTTAATTCCGTATATTAAGCAATGAAACATCAACATTTATGAAACCAAAACCTTACACTGCCTTCAAGGATGCCTTGTTTTAGAAGAATAGGATGCTCCAATTCACTGTAATGCAAACTTTTAAAATGCATAAGATTATTACATGCAAAATGTATTCTTTTTAAATAATACTCTATGCACTTCACACATTTCATAATTTACTGTGCATATTTTGGTTTTGCATATACAGTAATTAGAATTATCTTATATAGTGTCTCATACAAATGTATCTCAGGATGTTGCATAATTATTACACATTTCTATCTAGCTAAGGTATTTATAGAGTCCCCCATTACCATGGTATCTGGGGACCTCATAATATTTAATTAATTTATGCTCACAACACCCTGTGAGATAGAAATGTGGTATTAATTCCCATTTTACAGATGGGAAACTGAGGCACAGAGCGGCTAAGTGATCTGTCCAAGGTCACACAGGAAGCCGGTGGAGAGCAGGGACCTGAGCTCTCCCAAGCCCTAAACTAGTACCCCTGAACCATCCTTTCTCTGAATTTTGTGCCTATAAGAGTAATAAATAACAGATACTATAGCTGCAGAATTATACAACACTTCAGGGTAGCTGAAGAAGATACTGAAAGGAACTGAGAAGAGAGAACAGGTAGATTTTAGGAGGACATTTTAAAAGAGATGAATAGTCAAAACAGACACAGTCAAAACAGAGATATAGAGAGGCTGTCTATGAGGGCAACAGCACAGGAGAAAGCCCTTTCATATTAATGTGTGAGAGACTGTGGAGAGGGAAGGAAAGGAAGTGTATGATAGATGAGCATATGAAGTGGTAAGTAAGATGGTTTTCAGAGCCTCTGCTTTAAGAGTGATGCATTAAAATATTATTTTCTAATAACTTTAAATGTGCTGAGTTGATGAGCCCAAAATGTGCTCATAACAGTGTGATTATAGGAAGAGCATGGCAAATTCAAATAAATGCAACTATATTTATTTAATTCCAAAAGATACACATTTATTTGAATGCACACACCGTAGGAATGCACCATCACTCAGCTAAGCATACTGGGCCAAATTAATCTTTGGTGTAACATCGCTGACTTCATTTATATTGACTTCAGTGACATTCCAGTAGGGATGAACTTGACTCACACAGCGCAGAAGTATACTTGTGGTCAAGGTTTTTCTCTCTCCTTTTTCTTTCTTACACAGCAGTCAAACCAAGGAAATTAAATGCAAAAAACTTTATGCAACATTACAGTTAAATCTTTAGATATTCAACAGTTAGGAAATTCAAATGTTTTATTCCAGGGCAACTGTAATTCATCCACATTGAACATGTATCTTTTATACCTTAATACATACCTGTGCAAAATGAAGCAGGTACAATTACTCTTGGGGAAAGGGTTTTGAATTTTCTGACCTTTGTACATTAAAATCAAATCTCAATTATGAATTAATGTCCTTTTCCCCCTTTAAAGTTACAGTATAAATAGACTAGGACTTACTTCATATAAAATTAGAACAAAAGAGCAATATTAAGCCAAATTAAACTTGTTTATTGTGTTAGCAGGCCTTTAAAAATGCATGAAATTTTCTTTGAAATCTTAAATAAATTTGACAGATAAATGTGTATACACTACCTTTCAGAACTATGGTCCAAAGTATTCATGTCATCAGGAGAAATTCTGAACTCACTTATTCGGATTCTCTCTTCAAAATGAACTTCAACTGAATAGTAGACATACACTTTACCATTAAATTTGAATTTAGGATGGAAGACAATACCTAAAAAACCTCTCTCGTCTCCTTCCCAAGGTGAGGTAAGTACTGCTTCACTGATGTTCAGAAATGGCTTTTCCAGCCTTGACCGATCTGGGAGGTAGGTCCAAACTAAACCAACTTGTTCGGCAATGAAAAATCTGTGAGTTCCATCATTTGCATGCACCATAGCAACAGGATTCCGCAGACCATTAGCTACCTCTAATAGGCACAACTGGAGACAGCCCTCTGAGTCAGCAGTCACTAACCCAAGGTTTTGATTAAGATTCTGATTTACCAGCAGGCGAGGGAAACAATAGTCCACATCATCAAGTGACACATAGCGGCAGAACTTTGCCATATTGTTTTCCAGGGCTAATAATTCTTTGTCCATAGAGAGATAGCGAAACATGGACCTGCATTTTTGCCACATCTGCTCACAGTATTCTTGGCAAAGTCCTGCCACTGTCCGCAAGGGAGTGGAAGGATCCTCAGCATCATACAAGTGAGCAGCATAGGGGGAGCATTCCTACAGAAAGAGAGGAAACCTCAGTCACTTCAAAATGTGGCTGAAAAAAAGTCACCAAAATAAGAAAATTCACCTTATCACAACAACATGCATGTGACTCACTGTGCAAATATATTTACATACGTAAAGATCTCAGACCTCTGAAAATGATTCATCCCAACAATTGAGGTAATAACCTTAAGTATAGATGGTGGGAGCCAGGTTTCAATGAGAGTTCCCAAATGTGGATTCAGGTATTCAAGCCTGAGTACCAACACATAAAAACTGGACCCAGGCTCATGGGTATGCTTAATGTACATCACACCAATGTCCTAACAGAGGAAAAGTGAAGTTTTGTGTTACAGGCTCTAGTATCCAAAGATAGAGAGCCACCATTGCTTTACTCCAGCTTAATGCTGGAGCACCTGCATTGAAATCATGGAGTTACACCTGTAACTATAAAACTAGACCAATACTGAAGAATCAGGTCCCAAAATTTCCACATTGAAAGAAGCAGCAACTGAACCATAGCTTTCTATAGCTTCTATTCCTCTTCAACTGATAAAGGCATGCACTGCTGTGACAGCAACATAGAGTGAGGGCCACAGATCTGTGAACACAAACTACATTTGATTACCCAACTACCTAACTAGCGAGTGGAAATGCATCTTGAGATCATTAAACTAGATTGTAAACTCTTAGGGTAGAGACTGTTCATGCTATGAGTAGGACCCTACCAAATTCACGGCCATGAAAAACACATCACGGTCTGTGAACTCTGGTCTCCCCCCATGAAATCTGGTCTTTTGTGTGCTTTTACCCTAATCTATACAGATTTCACAGGGGAGACCAGCGTTTCTCAAACTGGGGCTCCTGACCCAAAAGGGAGTTGCAGGGGGATCGCAAGGTTATTTTAGGGGGGTTGTGGTATTACCATCCTCACTTCTGCATGGCTTTCAGAGCTGGGTGGCCAGAAAGCGGCAACGGTTGGCCAGGATCCAAGCTCTGAAGGCAGCGTCCCACCAGCAGCAGTGCAGAAGGAAGGATGGCAATACCATACCATGCCACCCTTACTTCTGCGCTGCTGCCTTCTGAGCTGGGCGGCTGGAGGGTGGCAGCTGCTGACTGAAGGCCCAGCTCTGCAGGCAGCAGCACAGAAGTAAGGGTTGCAATACCACACCATGCCATCCTTACTTCTGTGCTGCTGCTGGCAGCGGCTCTGCCTTCAGAGCTGGGCTCCTGGCCAGCAGCTGCCGCTCTCCAGCTGCCCAGCTCTGAAGTTAGAACTGCCGCCAGCAACAGTTCAGAAGTAAGGGTAGCAGTACTGCAACCCCCATACAATAACCTTGTCCCCTTCAAACTCCTTTTTGGGTCAGGACCCTTGCAATTACAACACAGTGAAATTTTACATTTAAATAGCTGAAATCATGAAATTTATCATTTAAAAAAATCCCATGACTGAAATTGACCAAAATGGACCATGAATTTGGTAGGGCCCCAGCTATGAGATTTTACGGTGCCTATCATGAAAGGGTTCCAATTCAGACTGGGCTCTTTGGTAGCTACTGCAACACAAATAAACAGCAGTTTATGAAGATGCTCTGCCTAAGAACTGAATCAAATTTATATAAGGGTTATCTATTACTAGCACATTTTCTTGACATAAGTCACTTAAATCCAGAAAACTACTTGTCTCTTACAAACTGACCAAAACATCCAGTTCTCTTGGTTTTCAGGTGTTTTTTTCTTGTCAAGTAATAATATATTACTTTCCACTTCTAATGCACCTTCCAGCCAAAGCTATTAAAGTGCTCTATAACAATGCAATAAGCTCAGTTGGTAAGGATTTTTATTTTCAAGTGATAGATAAGTAAATTGAGACAAAGAGAGGATGAATGATTTATCACATATCACCAAGCAAGTCTGTGGTATAGCTGGGAAAAGAAACCAACTCTCTTGAATAAATTTGTGCTTTAATTTTAGGGCCACACTTCGCCTAAGCAAAATGGGCTTAATTAAAAACAACCACCACCAGTTTAGGTCATTAGTCAATGATGAAAAGAAAAAAACATCTAAGATACCTATATTTAAATTAGCTGGTAAATATACACAATAGTAATGCACACAATATTTCATTTTTATAACAGTTCTGGCATCTTCCATAATAAAGCAAGGGACTATGTAACAGATCTGGTTAGTGTGTAAAATAAGTTTTCTTACTATGTCAACCTATTCATTGCAAAATGAAGGTTATTATGCTGACTGCCCTTCAAATGAACAGCAATTAATGTGAACAAAAGGAGATTCAATGAAACAAAACACCAAAACTGCATACACAGATTGAGTAACTGCACATCAATTCACTTATGCAAATATAAAAGTGTGCAAGGCATAGCAGATAAGCTGGCATATTTCCTGGTGCATTTGTTGTGGCCATGACTGAAAATTTGGTCTTAAAAGTCAAACCTTAATACAAAACAGCAAGAGAATTCCAACTTAAAGCTGTTATAGCATTCATATTGGCCACACATGCATAACTCACGTTGACATCAATGGAGTTCCACAAGCATATGGAGAAGAAAACAGACTCATATTAAATGCTGTAGTACATATGGTTCTCTGACAGGATCTCTCAAACCAGGCAGTCATCTTATACTCCATATGTACCATACACCAATATTTTGGTTTCAATACAGGAGATAAAAATGGCATAGAAGCATGAATGCCTAATTCCTTTGTTACTGTGTTTGACGCTTAGTCTTAAGTCAGTGTTAATAACAGAAGATATTGTTGATAACCTTATATGCAAGTCATAACATATCTGTGGTGCCATTATATACACACAGTAACATCCCATTGGAAGTGATGTACAAAAGATTAACGACCAGCCAAATACTGCACTGAACCATGTTTCTGTAGTATTTTCCACTACTAAAATGCTCAAAGTTGGGATATCTTCTGATGCTGAATCCGAAATACATGACGCCTGATCCTGAAATTCTTTGCTTGTGAATCAAGTGGTGCATTCAACCCTTAATGTTATTTTACTGTTGTGTTCACTTAGTTATAACGTTGACTGACTTTGCACTGAATCCAGAGCACAACATGACCAACAGATCTAAATTCTCTTCTACAAATTACAAGCTACACTGTTTTATTAATGTTTTTAATTGAACTCTTGTAGGGCTTGATACAGAGCGCATGGAAGCTAGTGGACAAGACTGGGCAGGCCAAAACCGTGATAAGAATTGAAAGAAACACTGTCAGTAATTTAAGTAGCTGGCTGGATTTGTTATATAAGCCTCAATTATTTAGGCAGCTAACTTACAGAGTTACAAAAAATATTTACCTAAGGACTGACATTAATTGCAACAGTTAGAATCAGGTTGGGTATTCAGATCCAGCAATGATTTACCTGTGTTATCAGTTTGGCAGTTCTGATGCAAGTTTTTAGAAAAGTGTTCTACTTTCTACTTAACCTTTGATATTTCTTATCAATTTCAACCTAGGAAGCACAATACTCTTACTTTTAAAAATGATGTACTTATTTAGGAGGTTGTAGTTTAATGGGAATCAAAGCCTTTGCCCTCCAACTCTTTACAAAAGTTTTCACCAGGCTGTACTCATACATGTACTTATTTTCACTTTATATAGTTTGTCCTCAGCCCCTTCCTTGCTGCTTTGCAGCAATAAAGCAGCCTTAACTGGCTCCTTGAAAATTTCACCTGAGATGGAAAGTCTTTGAACAGCATAAAGCAGGGATCGGCATCCTTTGGCGCGCGGCCCGTCAGGGAAATCCACTGGCGGGCCAGAACAATTTGTTTACCTGCAGCATCTGCAGGTTCGGCCGATCGCAGCTCCCACTAGCCGCAGTTCACCGTTCCAGACCAATGGCGGCTGCAGGAAGCAGTGGCCAGCACATCCCTCGGCCCGCGCTGCTTCCCACCGCCCCCACTGGCCTGGATCAGTGAACCACAGCCAGTGGGAGCTGCGATTGGCCGAACCTGCAGACGCTGCAGGTAAACAAACCGTGCCGCGTGCCGAAGGTTACCGATCCCTGGCATAAAGTAACTACGAGGCCTCTTATGCGTCTCATTCCTGGCCCATAATGTAGGGGGTGTATCTAGAGAAAAGAGAGATGTTGCTGGGGCAACTCTTACAGCATGTTGACTGCCAGGTTCCTTGTGGCTCAGGCCCTAATTCAGCAAGCTTGAGTGTAACTTTAAACACGAGTACTTCCACTGAAAACAATGGGACTGCTCACATGCTTAATGTTAGGCACGTGCTTAAATTAAAGCAAGTTAAAGCAGTCGTCAGGATTTCTCGGGGATTAAACTGTAGGCTGCAAAGGTGGCTTAAAGTCCAGTATATTTAAATCCATCGCTTTTGGGAGAGGTAATGTAGAGTGCAAAACTAACAGTTTTGATTAGCAGTCATTTATCTGTAACAGTTAAATTTTAAAAAGTCCACCAGTTTAAATTGAAAACTGGCTATGTTAAAATGGCACCTTATTCAATTGATCTGCTCCCCGTGTGTATTCATATCTGCCCACACTGGTTTTTACTAGGTTTTTATTCCAGTTAGCATTTCAGAGGCAACACAGCTCTAAGCAAATCGGATGGATTCTAGTCTGTATTGGGAACGGAAATAATACCACATAACAAATCACAGCTAAGGGGGAAAAAACCCTCTCATTTAGAATACTCACAATCAGTACTAGAATAAAAACTTGGAAGAGACATGTGTCAAAATAATTTGAATAAGGAATACATTTGAGGAAATCATGATTGGTGAGCAAATGGAGACCTAAATGTGCTGAATAATTCACAAAGAATGATTTATTCATTCAGCTATAAAGGTATAAATTACATATATAATGAATGACTGCAAGCGAGGGTGTACTCCAGCATACATAACGTGGATCTGTCCATTTATGTTTCCGTGGCCAGAGTTGCCACTGTTGGCAGCTGTCAATGCTGCCAATTCTGGGTAGGTAAGATAATACCTACAGCTGGTCAAGAACATTTCCAAATAATTTTTTTTTGTCAAAATACGTTGTTTTGTTGAAGCCTAAATATTTCATGGAGGCATACTGATTTTGAGTAAGTTTCCAACGGGATAGCTTCGGCGCTTCAGGGTTGTCAGAGTGACTGGCTGAGGCAGGAGCAGATGCAACTGGAGAAGGGGCTGGCTAGCATGGAAGCAGGCACGGCTGGAGCAGGAGCAAGGCAGTCTGTTGAAACTATTGGCAAGAGAAGCATTGCCAGCCAGGTAGTGATGTTGATCAGACTGGAGAGACTGCTTCCATTTGGAGCCCATATACCTGCCTTGGGATCACCTGGATGGGGCCTCACCCGTAAATAGGGCGAGCCAGAGTTCAGCCAATCACAACACCTGATGCCTCTGATGACTTCACTCTCTCTGGCTCATGGATGACTTATCAGGCTTAAGCAAACATAGGCCTGGTCTACACTACAGAGTTAGGTTGATGTAAAGCAGCTTATGTTGACCTAACTCAGTAAGTGTCTTCACTAAAACATCCCGCCCGCTGACGTAAGTCGCCCACTACACAGACTTAATAACTCCACGTCTGTGAGAGGCATAGAGTTTAAGTTGATGTACTTAGGCTGACACAGTAACCGTGTAGATACTGTGTTGCTTACATCGCCTGTTGCTGCCCGGGCGGCTGCAAGGCTCCAGCTGTCAGTGCCCCACAATGACCGTTAAATCACTGCAAGCACTCCTGGTGAGGATGTGCACTGCCAATAGGAGCATAGCGTGGACATTTAAACTAGATGCAATTACTGCAGTGGCTGTATGTCGACTTAACTTAAGACGACTTAATTTGTAGCGTAGACATGCCCTCAGGCTCAGAGATAACTCAGAGATGACTCATCAGGCTTAAGCAGAGGTTACTCAGGTTTAGGCAGGCTCAGAGGTATCAAAAAGGTGAACTATCGAATTGAAAACCTAAGATTTTCACCCAAGAACAATGTTTCCACACAATTCTGTTTCACAAAAACATTTGAAAGGTTTTTCATTCCGATGTGGAACAAAACCAAAAGTTGTCATGAAATGGAATTGTTGTTCATGGCCAAGTCTAAGGATACCCTAGTTTGCTGCAGAAGGCTAAGGATTGGATTCTCCAGTCCACTATGGCCACATTGCTCCATGTAAGTGTAAACAGAGTTACTCCAGAACAGCAGAATCTAGTCCACAGCCCTCGGATGGAGTCAATTATGGGTTTTGGCCTGGGCGAGTAATGTATCTGAAGATACACAAGGCAGATTCTGAGGATGGGATAGCTGCTTTGTGCCAGATAGATGGCATTTTCTGGTTATGCAGCTGTCGTGTATGGCCCAAGAGAATCCCCCTGGGTAGGAGGATCTTCCGGTGGCATACAGCTGGTATAGCAGCTTCTAGATCACATCCTCACCCCTCACTCTGCACTGATCCTTGCTACAGTTATGCTCCTTTGGGGCTGTTAGCCGCTGGCCTAAATCTGAGCAGCCTTAAGGCTGCTGTAACCCACTGCAGTGGAACTGTCTGGTTCCACAGTGGCCCGGGGTTTCCAAGAGTAATTTTTTGCCCATCTGTGCACTGCCTCCTGGATTGGCACTGTGTACTATGTGACCATTTCTGGAGATCCAACCCAAAGCCTGGGTCCCCAGGTGGGAATGGGGCCCACAAAACTCCACTACACTTTATAAGATATTCATACATCCACTTCTTAAAGTCCCAGTGTGCCACTGTACATAATTGAAAGCGTAATCTTCTGTTTTGTCATCAACCTTATCCTTTACAGAAGAGTTTGGCATGTGACAAGATTGCATTGTAAAGGCTGATCCTGAGTGTGCCAATTAGTTGATTTTGGATATGTTGCTACACAGATGTCCCGTTATCTAGATTGCAATTTTTTGCTAGACACTTTCAAAGCTACCCATCCAAGAATTCGAGCGAAGTTATTTCCTGGTTTGGCGGTGAATCCATGACTTTGACACTGTAACTGTCCACAAGGAAGAGATAGGATGGAACTCTCTCCAAATTTCAAACCATCCTTACACATGGGCCTTGCAAAGGTTAAAGGCAGCAGCCCCCAACCCCACTTTAGTGTTTCTCGGTGGAGAGATCACCTGATGACCCCATCTGTATAGCTCCCAACTAACAAAGCCCTAAGTGCAGAAGGAGGGAATAGGTGCAGACTCCCCAGGGGAGGTTACAGTCCCTCATCTGACAGAACAGATCCTGGAAGCAGAGCCTACAGCAGAGGGGTCAGAGCTCAGAGTTCCCCACCTCGCAGAACAGGCCTTGCAGGGAGGGGGAAGGATGGGAAAGAGAGATGCAGAGTCCCTGCTCTCACTTGGGAGGGGAGGGATAGAGTAGCAGGGGTGAGCTAGGGATACAGAGTCCCCTGACAGGACAGACCCTGCAGGGAAAGGAGGGATAGATAGCAGGAGTGAGCTGGGGATGCAGAGTCATGTGCCAAGGCAGGCCCTGCAGGAAGGGAAGGGGTAGCAGGGGGTGCAGTGTCACCTGGGAGAACAGAGCAGGCCCTGCAGGGAAGGAAGGGTTGGGGGCACAGAGTCACCTGACAGACCAGGCCCCGCAGGGAGGGGAGGGGTAGCAGGGGTGTAGTGTCACCTAGCAGAGCAGGTCCTCTAGGGAGAGGAGGAGTAGCAGGGGTGCAGTTTTACCTGGCAGAGCAGGCCCTGCAGGGAGCTGTAGCAGGGGTGCAGTGTCACCTGGCAGAGCAGAGCAGGCCCTGCAGGGAGGGGAGGGTAGCAGGGGTGCAGTGTCACCTGGCAGAGCAGAGCAGGCCCTGCAGGGAGGGGAGGGCAGCAGGGGTGCAGTGTCACCTGTTGAGTGACCAGACAGCAAGTGTGAAAAGTCAGGAAAGGGAGTGGGGGATAATAGGTGCCTATATAAGGAAAAAAAAACAAAAATCAGGACTGTCTCTATAAAAGCAGGACATCTGGTCACCCTAGTCACCCGGCAGAGCAGGACCCGCAGGGAGGGGAGGGTAGCAGGGGTGTAGCGTCACCTGGCAGAGCAGAGCAGGCCCCGCAGGGAGGGGAGAGTAGCAGGGTGCAGCGTCACCTGGCAGAGCAGAGCAAAGCAGGCCCCGCAGGGAGGGGAGGGTAGCAGGGGTGCAGTGTCACCTGGCAGAGCAGAGCAAAGCAGGCCCCGCAGGGAGGGGAGGGGTAGCAGGGTGCAGCGTCACCTGGCAGAGCAGAGCAAAGCAGGCCCCGCAGGGAGGGGAGGTAGCAGGAGTGCAGTGTCACCTGGCAGAGCAGAGCAGGCCCTGCAGGGAGGGGAGGCAGCAGGGGTGCAGTGTCACCTGGCAGAGCAGAGCAAAGCAGGCCCCGCAGGGAGGGGAGGGTAGCAGGGGTGCAGTGTCACCTGGCAGAGCAGAGCAGCGCAGGGCCCG